GTAAAATGTTCCACAGAATGTAAACAATGGACGAGAAATCATTTCATCACTGACAGCAGTACAGCGCAGTGGCGCTTCCAGATGATTCATGCTGATCCGTAAATATTATTCCAATTCAGACAGTTTGCTTTTGATTTTTCCCAATGCAAAAACAACGTGTGTCTGTCTTCCATCGAGAATTTATGATAATTTATTTTTAAGTTTTCTAACGTGTAAATATTTACTTTAATGATTTTCAAAAATTTGTGGATATTTTCATTTAAAATATTTCAGTTCATGAAGTGTTAAGAAGAAATTTCGCTGATATCAAACAATCGATGATTTGGACTATAATAAGTTATAATAATTTGGTAAATATTTGAGTATCATTAAAATTTTTATGGAAAAATTTTGTGACCAATTTCAGATTTTAATAATTATGACTAAATAAATAAATAAAATCTTCTAACAGGATGAGCAAATTTATTCATAAACTAATTTTTTTCTTTACATTTATTTCTGAAATTATAGTTAGTGGTAATGGAGTCCATTAATCATCATATAAAATATGACTTCTCTCTATTTTCAATGACTACAATTTATCAACTGCTTTTAGGACTTGTGGACTGATTCTGAAGATTATATAGTCGTTAAAACAAATTATCCTCGGTTCAATAAAAAGATATTTCGGATTTCAGGATATATGTAGTTCGTGTGCTTACTAGAGTTCTAACGGGATATGGTGCAAGCTAATCGATATTTTAGGGAATACGTATTCCACTGAAACTTGAGCTGCTACATGGATTGTTTAGAATTTGCAGAATAAAGAGAAAGTGAAAGGCATAAGTCATTTAAATTTAAAGAAGATAACTGGTCTGGTCTGGTAGCGATAGTGAATATTGACTTATTGGATCTTTCTCATTTTAACATACCTTTTTGACACAAACTATGAAACTTTTGATAATGACATTATCTTCAGAAATTAACATCGATCTGATCAACAATATAATGTACCGATGGAATATTTTTTATTACATCGATTGAAATCGTTTATCTACATTGACAAACCAGCATTGGTTATATCCTTAAATCTCAATATCAAATGTCAGTATCCTTGAATATGGGTCTCAAACGACTGAAAAAATGGTGTACAATTGGAACTTCACGTTTCCTGAGACACTTCCATGACAGTCACTAACTCCAAAATCGTTGTTAATCAAAAATGATTAAATTGACACATTATATTTATTAGTAAAAGTTTTGTTTTAATTTAAAATTCCATGCCTCTAAAGAAAGAAAAACATCAATTAATTCAAGTTTCAATTATACGATATTTTTAACGTAGTAGAAAGTAGAAATAAATGTATAGGGTATTATAAAGTCCATAAAGTCAAACATAATTTTTTTTTCTACCAAGCAACTTATCTTTTCCATCTTTGTAATAATAGAATAATGGATTTATGTGTAGTGAAATTAGTCAAGTGCATCCAAAATGTATTCATTTTCTATCTCTTGATCTATTCGTCCATTTTTATGACTATTTTTAATTTAAAAATAGTCTTTTCTGCAGATTTGTTACATCATTGAATTCTTCTTGCACTAATTCCCCACATAACGCATGAAAAGCTACAAAAAATATATATCTCATAGCCATTTGGAACCCTTTTTATAAATACAATTCTATATCAGTACAGAATTTCCTTTCGAACTCTAGTTAAGTATTTATCCACAACTTTTATGAGATGTCTTCATTACAGTATAACCTATACAGTTTTAATAGTGGCTTATTATAGAGCTCTTTATCTAAGATAGATATTCTCATGCAAAAAACGGTACATATGCAGAGACTCTGGGAAAAGATTTGGTTTTCCTTTGTCTAACTGTAGCCGTGACAATTACTACTTTTAACCGGTTCCCACTTCGTTTGCCTGCTTTTTATTAGGTATTATTACTATCATTAGCTTAGAGAGAGCTCTTTAAAATCTGCTTTTTAGCAATAATGATTATTTTCAAATATATCCTGGTACTAAAATAATCTATGATATACTGCAAACTACATGATCTATTTTGCTATGACTGGGAAGAATCTCCTAAGTTAGCCTGGACAAATGAAGACTTTTGATAAATCAAATAATGTTTCTTAGTTCTGGATTCCATAACTTTTTTCTGACAATCGCAAAAAACAAGCTAATAAGATGGAGAATCCTGAGAGAGGAGAGAAATTGTTGAATATTAATAATATTTGAATTTTTCTGATGTATTTAATATACTATGTATAATATATAACATATATATAAATATATAATGCAATACATTGCAAAAACAGTACCAAAAAATGTATTTCATAGTATATCTTGCCCTTTGCACAATTCTGGTTACGCCATCAAGTAGATGGAAGTTTCATTTTGAATTTTACAGAATCCTCAGGTATCGGTGTTCTTTAGTCCCTTATTTCAAAGGTGATAGCTCACAGGAGTTAAGAAATCAACAATTAATCCGAGTTCCAATCAGTTTAAACTGATTTTTATTCTTGACTCGAATTTGTTTGGAATAGATATAGCTTTCTAAATAGATTCAGGCTTTCGCAAACGGCTTATACTCTATGATTTTAAATACTGATTCAGTTTAACAAGAGGATATTCCATGAAAAACTTCAAGTCCGATAAGTGGTTTTAGTGCACTCATTGCTACAAAGTTGTTAAAGTATTATATTTCGTTAATGTCAAGTTCCTCAATACCGGGTACACAGGTGGGTGCTACTTTTTTCGCACTAGTTAGTAGTTTTAGACCGACATAGATTTTATAGTGGCCCACATGTCTTATGTCTCCTTTCTATCTCCTATTTCTATTTACAATCAGGGCCTGTAACTACTTTCTGTCACTCATGTTAAACATTCCAATCGATCTTGGCCATGATACAGTAAAACTAGATCGAGAGAACTTATTAACAGGCACCGAGCTCATAACGCTAGATTAATTCTAATTAATTCAGTTGTGTGAAAGTTTTGGTAGTCAAAGAAGGAATATATATTTAGAGAAATATTTTTTCCAGAATTCGCCAGACAACTCATCAGTAAAAACTAAGGAGCTGTCAAATTTTATAAACTCAATTCGATGGATCTTGTTTACCTATAAGGGTTTTATGCGAGGAATGTGCTACTAAAACGACAAATTTTTGCTTATTATATGAGGGGGAAGGGTATCTGTCGATCAACCACTACTACCAACCAACCTACAATCTACTATGTGGAGCTAGTGATAATCAATTAATATACTGTTAATTATTTTTATTATTTTATGGTAAATTTATTAATATTTAATTTAATACAAACAATTTTAATTTACAAAAAAAAAAATATATTTAATTTGCGTTTATTTTTTTTTTTTTGCATTTAAAATAAATTTACGTTTTTCCGTATTTGCCTTTGCCATTGCCGTACACACAAATTTTTTGTTTTTGTTTTTATAATTTGCCGGTTTTATATTGAAAGCTTGTTTGTTTTTGTTTTTCATAATTTGTTGTTGTGTTTGTTTTTGTACATAATTTTGTGCTTTTTGCCTTCTTAATGTAACTTTCTTTGTGTGTGAATTGTTGTTGTTGTTTTGTTGTTGTTGTTTTTTTTTTTTCAGTGCACTGCAATTTTTACGTTCGTTTGTACGTGCCGGTAGCTGGACCAGCTGTGCAGTCTCTCTTTACGTTGTCATCGACGTGAACGTGTGCGGCGCAAATTATCTTAAACATATGACGTTGATGTTATTGTTGTTGTTGTTGTTGTAGTATTTGTTGTTATTTTTATCATTTTCAATTCAGTAAGCATAAAATTAAAATATTTGAGGCATTCAAATGAAGATATTGGCTTTCAAACATAACAAATAACAGCTTAAATAATAATGAAGAATAAAAAAAAGTGAATTTTTAATAAGAAAAAAAAGTAAAAATATGCGTAAATTTCATAACAATGATAATTCAAAAAAAAAAATAATAATTTAATTTCAGAAAAAAAAATAATTTTTGAAAAAGAATGAGGATGACCTCAAAAGAACCGGTGTGCCATATCAACCATATATGAATAATAATATGAAAAACAACAACAAAATTGTTGTTGTGGAAATGAATATATTTAATGGTTAAAGTGGACAATTGGAAAATGTGATAATTATGAAACATAACGAATATATAATAAAATAAAAAGAGAACAACTAATTATATGGCAGAAGTTAGGCTTAATTTTTTTTATCGTGTTTGAACTTGTCGTGATGCCTTGAGACCTTACGATATGTGAGTATGCGTTGTTATTGTTTGTTAAATTAAACGAATAAGGGGAAAGCAAATGAAATAATTGCTTAGGGCAAATTAAATGATCGTAAAGAGAAAATCGAATAAATTTATGAATATTTAAAGGTTTATTAAAAGATCGTATAAGTTAAATACGATCAGGTGAACTGATTGAATAAAAGTAGGGCAATTAGTTCGTAATTAGTTGGCAACTAGTTATTGTTCTGGAACTGAAACTAGTTTGAAAATGCACTTATATACTAATAATTATTTTATTTAAAATTATTTTTAATTATAATTATTATTACTAATTATTTTTGTGAAATATGGAATATTTTTGTGAAAGAATATATGTTTGATTATGATTATATTATATATATTATTTTTATTATTATATGCTTGGTGTATTTACAATGTATTTATTATTATTACGAGTGGGTAAAGACACCGCTCTTAGTAAGAGCATAGAGCGTAGAATATTATATATAGTGAGCGCAATTTACTTAGACGCACTTAATATTTTTTCAAAAATGATGCAACGAACTCGAATATAAATATTTTTTTTGTTGAAAAAGAAAAAGCAGTGCTTGATAGTAAAAAACAAAAAAGAAATATATTTCATATCAGTCATTCTTCTTACATATGTACAAAAACACAAAAATAAGGCAAAATAAACGCGCAATTTTCTTAGGCGCACTATGTTTAAACAAAAGAAATCAAAGAGTTTTCACAGTTTTGACAATGCTTAATACTTTGTAATTCCTCCGTTTTGGTTTATAACTGAAAAAATTCGATTTGGCATCGAATCTATCAATTTTTTGATAATCACATCGTCGATTTTGTCCCAAGCCTCTTGGATTGATGCTTTGAGCTCACTCACTGTGGAATACTGACGTCCTTTGGCATAGACCTTCCGTGAAATTATTCCCCATAGGTTCTCAATGGGGTTTAGGTCAGGACTCCTTGCTGGCCAATTCATTACCGTTATCTGCTTCGACGAGAAGTAAGACTTTGAAAGCTTGGACACATGAATGGCGGCGTTATCCTGCTGGAAAATTGGATCCCGATCGGCGTGTTCCTCCAGAAACTTTATTAGAACGTCATCCAGCATTTCAGCGTACTTCTCTGAGTTCATTCTTGTATTTATGAAGCACAAAGTAAGTTTTCCATGGAGTGAAAAGCCACCCCATATCATGACAGATCCGCCTCCAAAGTTTCTACTCATTCTTATGGGATTGTTTTGGCGGAGATCATGCCAGTAAGAGCTGAAACCGTCTGGCCCGTCCAAGTTAAATTTTTTCTCGTCCGAAAAAATAACCGAGTGCCATTCTTTGGTCCAATGCATATGATTTTTAGCAAAAACAATGCGATTCTTCTTGTGCATTTCTTTCAGAGGGGGCCGTTTCATCATTTTCTTCCATTTTATGTGGCCATCGGCATGTAAAATTTGTTGCACTCTTCTTTTTTTAATTGGTAGCTGCAATTTTGCTGCGATTTGAGCTGCACTGAGCCGATTTTTTGTTGCTTCTTCCTTTATTTGGTTTTTGAGTCGCCGATTTATCTTTGCATTTCGATTGTTATTCGTAGGGGCTTTACCATATTCCTCACCCAAACGTAAAAAATTTCTTACAACGTGTTCCGATCGGTTTATGTGGCTTGCAATTTTCCTCTTTGAGAATCCATTTTGATGTAAACACCCTATTTTGGCTTTTTCTTCAACGCTCAGAAATTTTCCCTTTGCCATTCGACTTGCGCAAATGCGAAGCCTATTTCGTGAAGAATTTGTATGGTTTTTGCTTTTAGAATATTAGCTCAAATATTAATGTGTTATGAAATACAAACCTTCTTACAGAACAATCAAATAAACTAGTCCGAACTACCGAAATAAATATATGCGTCTATAAAAATTGCGCACTTACTTAGCTTCTTTTTTATGAAATTCACCGTTATAACTTTGCAAAATAAAAATCACATTCCTTTTATGTTTGTTTACGTTTAGTAATGGAAAAGAAAAAATAATAATGTAAAAAGATCAATAGCTCTGCTCTTTAACAAAAAAAAAAGCATTTTTTTTGTGTGCGTCTAAGTAAATTACGCTCACTGTATAATATATAATAATTATAATATTTAGTTTTAAAAAATTTGTAAATTTATAAATTTTTTATTTTAATATCAGATGATATATATAAAAGTGTTAATCACTTTTTGGTAAATATTCCAAAAAAAAAAATAAATTTTTTTACCAAAAATCAATTTCTAATCAGGTATATGTGAGCCATTATTAGTTATGACCTATTGGAACTCTCGGATAGCTTTAGAATTCCATCGTTGTAGTTTGACCAAATGATTATTTAATGTCAGTATTAGTGAGTGTGAGTTTGAGTAAGTAAATTTTTTAATAAACTTTCATTGCAAATTAACAAAACTCCAAATTCGAAGATTCATATCAAGTACGTCTTTGGGGCAGTCGGCTAATGAACACTGACTCTGAGCTTCAAATTTGGTAAGATATGAGTTCCACCCTTGGCATTTGCAGTCTCAAAAAAGTTATTAAGAAATAATTAATTATAATGATATACGTATAAGAGTATAAATAAGCTGTTGATTCAAGATAAATAAAATTGAAGTTTTGAAATGTGATCTAATCGATGTATGCTATATATCGGTTGGGTAGTACATTTCAGGAACTTGTCAGTAGTTTTACGCGTTAACAATGAAAAAAGAAATATTGGAGATAGTAAGACTGAAAAAAGTAGAATACTTAGATCATAACCCAAAACATCACACACAAAAAAGATGATTTACCTAAATTGATCGTTGAAGGTAGATTTGAAGGAATAGGTAACTTTGCTATTCTTCTGTAAGTACAATCGGAGCTTAAAAACTACAACTAATTCTTTGACTTTTTTTTTTTGATAGCTTCTTCTCTTCTTCTCTCTCTCTTCTTTCTCTTGTGTTCGACTTTATTAAAAAATGTCCTGTTATTTTTTAAATATATTTTTCTTTTATTTTTCCAAGATATTTAAAAAATATCTGTTCGCTCTACTGATCCCAATCATATGGAACTGTAGCATGCGATAAATAATTGAGTGTAAATATTTTTAAAATAATTAATTTTAATAACGAAATTACTTAATTATTATTTGATCTATTGGTTCTTTAAATTTTTCTACAATTTTTAGAAGATATTTAAAACATAGCTGTATGCGCGCGCATATCATTGCCACTAACCCAGACGTAATTTGTATCTCATCAGTAGACACTAATTTTTTTTTACTTATTTATTTTTTTTTTTGTATTTAATATTTTAAATTCCATTTAGCTACATTAATTGTTTTTTGTATTCAAAATGGGCAATTGCAAAATTGTACGGGAAATACTAAACGTGAGAATGCGTTTTCGCTGCTCTCCAAATAATCATTCCACATTTTTTGGTAAATACATATATTTTGGTTGAAATTTTTTAAATTTCTTAATGAAAAATGTAGAAAAAATTTTATTTTTTATTTATTTTAATTTTCTACAAATTAATATCATACATACATAATTTTATACTCTAATAAAAAAAGTGTTTATAAATATTTCAAATTCAAAAAAATTCTTTGTCTTATTTTTATGAATTACATTTTTTACAGTAGATTTTTATTATTTAAAAGACAAAATAGATTTTAAATAGTATTAAGTATTTACATTTTTTTATTTTCAATTAATTATAAGTCCTAATAACTATTCCTAATAACTGATAAATAAAATTAAGGCTTCAAGTCCAAAGGGTTCTTTACGCCTTTTGTTAATTTTGTAAAGTTACTGTGGAAGCATGATTTTTTTAATTATAATTTGACCATAATAAATAAAATATATAATAAAGAAAAATAAATAATTTGTAAATTTTTACTAAAAAAAATATTTCAACTTCATGTTCACAATACACATATACAATGCTACTATATCCCAAACCAGGTGCTTTAACTGTAGACGCACCTACATACTGCGTAGATCTCATAAATTTCCCACATTTAGTTACTGATAAGTGAGACATAACAGTGCCAAAAA